GATGATCTTAATGAATTTTGTACCAAAGCTGATGTCTGAAAAAAGCCAACAAAAATGCAACCACCTTAAAATCTGAATAGCTCACATTTACATAGCACTTTATAGTAATAAAACATTTTATATACTTTGTCTCATGTTTCTCAAACTGATCAGCGAAACAGTGTTGAGGTTTAGATTGGAGAGAGCAGTTCAGGTGTGAAAGAATTCACTTAGACCTCTGTGGACATTGGTGATGAGTTCAGGATGGACCCCAAGAATGTTAAGGTGCTACCTGAAATGATGAGGAATAGATGTGCAGATCCTATTGTCCTGAAAGAATTCACTTGGACAGTCTCCAAGTTAAAGAAAGGCATTTATTGGGATGATGCATCCAAGCGGGCCTGCTCCCTGTGAGGCAGAGCCCCAATGGGCTTTACTCCACATGGGAGGCAGAGCATAGGCCACAGGCCCTGCTCCCCTAAAGGAGCAGAGCGGCTCCTGCTTCCCGTGGGCGGCAAAGTAGTTAGTTAGGTCAAAGGTATGGTTTAAATACAATTTTATGGAATGGGGGAAGGGTACAAGAGAATGGGAGGAGCAAGCATAGCTCCAAAATGCCCGAAATATCAGGTAGTTCGGAGGTGATAAGCAAAGAGAACAGGAAAGGAGAAAGGAAGAGTTATTCTGGAATTAGGGTGCTTTGTGAAAGCACACAGACAAGTCCACAGTCGGGGCTTCAATGCATAGTCTTCTTTGATCACTTTTCTGGCTGGTCACATCCTGCATCTTATCTCCTATCACTCGTCCTGCTTGCTCCATCGGCCTCAAGCACTCTTTTCTACCTCATCAGCAGGACAGATATTTTATATTCCATTTCCACTCCAATTTTAGGTGTAGAAAAACTAGGGCTCAGAGAAGTTAACAGACTCGCCCAAGGCCACAGAGCTATTGAGTGGCAGAGAGGAGACTTAAACACCTGGACTCCCAGTCCCAGACTCTTCCGATTTGTCACAGCGAGTGAGGAATCAAGCACCAGACTAAAGCCTTTTGTTTTCTGGTTTCCATAGTGCACTATGGGTTAGAATTCCACTTCCGACACAACTGCTCTTCAAAAGACAGTGTGGTGAAGTGAAGTGAGAATCAGGAGGCCCGGCTTCCAAGCCCACTCTGCCACTTACTGAATAACCTTGGGCAAATCACCTGAAACAGAAGTTTAGCTTTCTAAGCTACAAAAACAGGCATAACAACATATAAGCGATTTACTTCCAGGCTTCTTTGGAGGATTAAGTAAAACTATGCAAATGTGAATTGCCATTGGTATTAAGACCATTCCGGAGAGCAATTTGGAACTATGCCCAAAGGGCTATCAAACTGTGCATGCCCTTTGATCCAGCCAAACCACTACTAGGTTTGTATCCCAAAGAGATCAAAAAAAAAAAAGAGGAGGGGGGAGGAAGAGGACCTATTTGTACAAAAATATTTATAGCAGCTCTTTTTGTGGTGGCAAAGAATCAGAAATTAAGGGGATGCCTATCAATTGGGGAATGGCTGAACAAGCTGTGGCATATGAATATGATGGACTATAAGAAATGATGAGCAAATCTGATAGCAGATTTAAGAAAAACCTGGAAAGACTTATATGAATTGATGCAAAGTGAAGTGGGCAAAACCAAAACATTACACACAGTAACAGCAACATTGTGCGATGATCAAATATGAACGATTTAGCCATTCTCAGCAATACAATGAAAATGGTATTTATATCCAGAGAAAGAATGAATGGAGTCTGAATACTGACTGAATGAAGCATACTATTTTCATTTTTTTTATGTTTTTTTTCTTCTGTTTCTTTTCCCACATGACATGGAAATATTTTACATGATTGCATATATGTAACCTATATCAAATTTACGGGGCACTGAGAGAAAGAGGGAGAAAATTTGGAACTCAAAATTTTTTTTAAATGAAGGGCAGCTAGGTGGTACAATGGAAAGAGCAGCAGCCCTGGAGTTCAAATGCAGCCACAGACACTTACTAAGCTGTGTGACCCTGGGCAAATCACTTAACCCCAACTGCTTCCAAAAAAAAATGAATGTTGAAATTTGTCTTTACATGTAATTGGAAAGATTAAAATACTATTTTAAAAAACACCTATGCTAGGCAAAGGGGAAAAAAAAAAGTTGTTCAGAACACAGTACAAAAGTATAGAACACATAAAGCAGCATGGATCACGTCAAGCCCAAGGGCAATGATGTAGGAGGCAATACACTGAACTGGAAATAATGAAAACTAGTTTTGGCTTTGCTCTGTGATCTTGAGAAAGTCATTTCATCCTTATTTTCCTTGTATGTAAGACAACAACACTGGACTAGATGGTTTTAAAGTATCCTCACAGTTCAATTCAACAAATATTTATCAATCACCTTATCTGCAAGTTGGAAAGATACAAAGATTAAATATTTGTCCTATCTACCTCACAAGAGTTGTTAACTTAAAATGAGATAAAGTGAAGCACTCTGTAGAGAATAAACCTCCAAATATGAACTATTTATTATTATTGTTGTTGTTACTAAAAGGGAAAATATGGTTTAGTGGATATCCAGCTGGCCTCAAGTTGGGAAGATCTGGGTTCAAACACCATCCCTAACACATACTGGTTGCAAGGCCTTGGCCAAGTCACAACCTTCAATCTCTCAGTCAACTTTCTAAGGCTTTAAGACATAGAACAGTTGAGGATCAACAGAGTAGTTTCCTATTGGGAACCAAAAGTTCTTGATGTCAAAGAAATCACAGTTAAAGATAAAAAGAAGAAAAAAACCTAAGATACGGTCCCTAACGCTGCAGAATTTGCAATTAATGGATAGTACAGCACAAACACAAATAAGCATAATTCAGTATAAGTGAGGTAAATGCACAAGAGATATTTAATTCTGTATTTTTCTATATAAAAATGGAGTGGAAAGCACATTGGCCTTGTGTCAGTTCTGGGTTCAGATCACAATTGTACCACTTATTAGCTTTGTACTTTGGATAAGTCACTCTGAGTCTTAATCTTTTCATTCATAAAATGGGGATAATACTTGTACAACCTACTTCAAAGGGCTGTTATGAGGGAAGTCGGTTAGAGTACCATAGAAATGTGAATTATTAATAACAATAAGTAGAAATATAAACACAAATCTATTTTTAACCATTACTGAGACCTAAACTCTTACCATCATCATTTATTCCTAATGGAAATATAAACATACACCGAAGACTTATCCTTTCTTCCGATTTTGGCTTTTCAAATCCCAACTTTCTTACCCCTTTTGCTTCATCCTACCCTCTCTTTCCTATTACTTCCATCTTTCCCCAATTCTGCCCAGAACTTCATCTGCCAGGCAAATCTAGAAAATCCTGTTGTTGTTGTTGTTTTACAAAGGAAAGCTAATGTACATCAACTGAACATAGTAATGTGATAAGTACAGATGCACAGAAGTTTAAATACACATACATAGGTTAAGTATGATGAAATGCAGAAAGCAATGAGGGCAAAAGAGCTATCCAAGCAAACTGCTCTAGGAAACTAAGTCTAAGCTGGAGAGAGCACCGTCATTTCGGGAAAGGGTTCTCAGAGAAAAGTGTGGTCCCTGGGGGTTCCAGAGACCCTTTCAGAGGGTCTACAAGGTCAAAACTACTTTTAAAATAATACTAAGTGGTTATCTATTAAAATAGTACTCCCTTCTCCAACCATATGTCTGTGTGAGGGCAGATCTTCTTCATATGCTTCAACTAAAACAATATATATGGCAACAGATTAAATGCAGATGTAGATGAGAATCCAATGATCTATTATGACAGACAGACATTAAAAAGATTTGCAAAAATATGTAAAACAACGGCACTCCTCCCACTAAACTTTTTTTTGTTTTAGAAAATGCAAATCTTTTGGGCCACCCTATATATTTTTCATTTAAAAATGTTATATTAATATGTAATTGTTATAATTTTAAATGAATTAAATGGTTTTTAAAAATTTGTCAGTTTTCATTTCTAGTATAATTAGTATCAATCACTCTAACTCACATAAAAGTTCCTTGGGTTCTCAATAATTTTTAAGAGCCTAAGGGAGTAATTTTTTTTTAAGAGTGTAAGGGAAGGGGCAAATGGTAGCGCAATGGATAGAGCTCTGGCCTTGGAGTCAGAAGGACCTGAGTTCAAAACCGGCCTCAGACACTTGATGCTTACTAGCTGTGTGACCTTGGGCAAGTCACTTAACCCCTACTGCCTCACCAAAAAAAAAAGCCCCAAAAAAAGTGTAATGTAAGAAGAGGGTCTTGAGACTAAAAAGTTTGAGAACCACTGATTTGGGGAAATTTTGCTTTGTCTTTGAACAAGAGAATCAATAGGCGTATTAAGCACCCGTTATGTGCCAGCTACTGTGCTAGGTGCTAAGAACACAAAGAAAGGCAAACGACAGCCACTGTCCTCGAGAAGCTCAGTCTGACTGTGATTTCAACATTAAAAGCTAAAAAGGGTGGCACCGTGGATGGTGCACCGGCCCTGGATTCAGAAGGACCTGAGTTCAAATGCGACCTCAGATACATAACACTTACTAGCTGTGTGACCCTGGGCAAGTCACTTAACCCCACCGCCTAGCGCCCCCCCCAAAAAAAGTTAAAAAGGCTTTGTCTTTCGTTGTAATACTAATGGTATGCAAAAAATACAGCAGGCAAGAACAACAAAGGCCCCGACCCCCCAAGTTTGGAGCATCCATCGTACACACGCCGACCTCCCCCAATTTTTCCATGGCCTACTCCCACTCATCGCTCCTACTAGAGACACCGTCTCCCTGCCCTCCCACCAAGCCCACGCACAACCCCAGGAGCAATCTCGACGCCTTTCCCAGAAGGCTTTGCTCCGCCGCGGGGCATGTCGGGGGAATAGCGCTAGAAGAGACACCCCGAGGCCTGGCGCCCCGGGCGGGGCGAGCGGTGACGCCCTCCCCCCGACCCAAGCCCTCGGCTCGCTCGCGCCCTTACCCCTCCTGGAGCTGCCACCAGCGGAGGACTCAGGGGCAGCATTAACGCCCGCGAAAGCCGGGAATAAGGCCATGGTTCCAGGCCAGGGCCACCGGCCCCGCCTCCGCAACACGCTCGGAAAGGAAACGCCAGCTGTCGAGCAATGAGCATGCGTCCGCTCGGGCTCGGGGCATTATGGGAGTTGTAGTCCTTCGGCACTGTGCCTAAGCGAGGGGGTGTTCGTAGGGGCGGGGTAGTACATCATAGAATTCAAGCGGCGAGGGACCTCCGGGCCACCCGTTCCAACCTCATTTTACAGTATCTTCAAACTGAGGCCCAAAGAGTAGCTTGCCTAAGGTCAGTCACACAAGTCAAGTCAATGGGCACTTTTTAAGCTCCCATTATGTATGCGGCAGGCATCCTCCCAATTTGCGAGTCCAACTCTTGGTGACCCTCTTTGGCCAAGAAGCAGCGATACTGGAGTGGTTTGCTATCGCCCTTTCCAGCTCATTTTGCAGATGAAGAAACTGAAGCAAACAGGGCTAAGTGACTTGCCCAGGGTCACACAGCCAGGCAGTGTCTGAGGCTAGATTAGAACTCAGGAAGATGAGTCTTCCTGACTCCAGGCCCGGCACTCTATCCACAGTGCCACCTAGCTGCCCCATTCTGTTGATTGGAGATACAAAAAAGGGGCAAAAACAGATGACATCACAACCTAATATGAGAGAACACACAAACAAGGATTTACTAACAAGACATATTGAGGATAAATCATAAATAATCAATAGAAAGGAAGGAATTGGTGTTGTAGGGGGATCGGGAAAGACTTCTCATAAAAGCTGGGACCTGAAAGAAGCCAGAGGTGACAGATGATAAGAAGGCATGGGAGACAAGGACAAGATGGAAGGAGTGTCATGTGTGAGGAACAGCATTGAGGCCAGAGGCACAGAGTGTGGGCGAGGAGTAAGATGTAAGACTTAAAAGGAAGGTAAGGGCCAGATCGTGGAGGGCTTTAAAAGCCAAATAGTAGATTTTATATTTGATCCTTAAGGTAATAGGGAGCAACTGGAGGAGATGAATGAGGGGATGCCATGGTCAGACCTGCACTTTGAGGATGGACTGGGATAGAGAGGGAACTAAGGCAGGCAGACAAACCTGAAGGTTATTATTGCACCAAGGTCATGTCATTGTCACAGGAGAAAAGGGATCATATAGGAGAGATGTGATGAAGGTATAATGGATAGGGTCTAAGTGACACAGCTAATAAACACAACTATGTGAAAGAATGTGAATTTGAACCCAGGACCATTAAGTCCAAATCCACTTATTTTTGCAGGGCACTACTGTCTGTCTGTCTGTCTCTCTCTGTCTCTCTGTCTCACTCTCTCTCTCTCTCTCTCTCTCTCTCACACACACACACACACACACACACACACACACCCTTTTTAAAGGTTAGGAAACTAAGGCCCAGGGAATCCAAATTAACATAAGTGTTAAACAGCAGAGTTGAGGATGGAACTCACTTCCTCTCTCACTTCCTCTGACTCCATGTTTAATGCTTGCTAATAAGTTTTTCACAGTAGAAGGCATAACTGTGTAACCTGTTATGTAAATGCATCTTTGATTTTTCTATCACCACATTCTATTGGTTGCCAAGTCTTGTTAATTCCAGTTCTGCAATATTTCTGCATACATTCCTTTTCAATCCACTCATACAGCCACAACCCTAGGTCATCTCTCACCTGGTCTATTGTAATACTTAACAGATTTCAACAGGTTTTCCTGTCTGCTTTCTCTTCCATCTCCAATCTGTACATAACTTTCAACTCTATATTAACAGGGATAGCTTTTTTTCTTATACTGAGCCCAATTCTGCTATGTATAGGTCTTATCCCCTTATTAAGTTATAGACTCCTTGCAAGTGAGAGCTGTGTTATATTTATCTTTTTATCCCTTGACTCTGCACATACCACAGCAGGGGGTCTTAACCTGCATCTGTGAACTTGTATTTTCTCATATTTTGATAACTGTATCTCAATTTAACTGGTTTTCTTTTTAATCCTATATATTATCTTGGGCACCTAAAAACACTGTTAAGAGAAGACTTGTTCCACAGACTTCTCCTGACTTCCACAGATGTCCATGACCCTTTACTAAATTATAATAAACATAGATTAATTGAATATATAATAACAGCCTACCCATCTTTTAGGTACCAAGATCAACTCTTCCTTAAGTGAGAAGTTTTCCCAGCCCCAAATAATCTCTCCCTTCCCTCCTTTGGCCCTGGCACTTATCATATGGTGCCCTGTGATGTTAGTCACCCTTTTGTGTCAACATTATCAACAAACATTTATAAAAACCTATGTGCAGAAGCTCAGTGTCAAATGAGTAGTAAGGAGGTATTATAGGAGCACAGAGAATGAAGATATTTCATGGTGAAGTGGAGTATTTAGGAAGGGTTTCCCTGAAGAGATAGCACTTGAGGTAGACCTTGAAGAAAGAGAAGTAATTAGATAATCAGAAAGAGGAGAGGGTATTCTACCCAGGAGAAATATGTGAATAAATTCTCATAAATACACATGATATATTGTTTAGGGGAAAAAGAAGTAAGACAGTTTGCCCAAAGTAGAAAATTTAAGGGAAATGGGGGTCATAGTCCATGGACCACATGCAAGGCTGTGCTACCTGCTCCCAACCAACCTCATGTGCTGAGTCAAAACTGAAGGATTCAGAACCTTTGAGATGATGAAGCAGTTCTCTTATTAGTCCTATATTCCTGCAACAGCAGTGAGTGAAGGGCTGTATTAGTTTTAAAAATAGAAACAGCTTCTGGCTTGCTCACTTCTTTCCTGCCTCGAAATACATGATAAGTGGTTCTCTCTGAGTTTCCCATGAGGCATGGGGAAGGGGAGGCTTACTCTTTTCTCCACCTCCACAAAAATGGCACATGTCCAGCACATAGCCCCTAAAACATGGGTGTTGGTTTATGAGAGCCGGACACTAGATCTCAGACCCCTCGCTTCCTCTTTTGCGTTGTGTTTTCTTCCCTAGAATAGGTGATTATTGTATAGCAATCTTGAGATGGACTCATTTAGTCTTGTGAGTATGGGAGGTTGACAACCCTGGGTCCCTCAGTTAGACTTGACTCATAGCAAGAGGAATTTCTGCATTGAAGAAAGTGACCACCAAAAGAGAGAGGAGCTCATCTCCTGGCCTAGCTTGTGAGAAGACACGGACCTGCAGGGAACTTTTTGGACAGTGCAAAACTGAGGTTAAATGTGGACATGCCAATTTAGTAGTCCCACAAACTGCTCTATTTCCATACCAGCTCAAAGTCTTTGCTTCCCAGGAGAATATAAAGATACTTTGGTTAATGTTTACTGTTTTGATTCTCTTATCAATTCACATTTGAGTTTTTGTGTTCAGCATTTCTTTTGTGTGGAAGAAATAAAGAGTTGTCACAAAAATCATTTAGAACTTTTCTGCTAATCCTATTTTGGGAGACCTTAGATATGAGCCAAACCTAAGCTTTAAGAAACTTTTCCAAGGTTTTACATAAGATTGTAAAGAGGTAAAGAATGAGGAAAAAAGGGACCAAATCTCTCTTATTAAATATTAAGTTCCCCCAGGATTGTAACCAGTCACCATATGTGAGGGCCCAGAACAGAAGGGATCCCTGTTGAAGGAAAGAACAGAGTACTCCAGCCCCTTTGTTCCACAGTTATTCTAGTTATAAGACAAATATTAGAGAAGGAGATAAAGTTTATTAACAGAGGTTCTTATCTTATTTGTGTCATGGATCACTTTGGCAGTCTGGTAAAGTCTATCAACCTCAAAATAATGTTTTTAAATGCATAAAGTAAAATATATAGCATCACAAAGTGTGGGGGCTGGTAGGTAGCACAGTGGATAGAGCCCTAGGCTTGGAATCAGGAAGACTCATCCTCATGAGTTCAAATCCAGCCTAGGACACTTACTAGCTGTGTGACCCTGGGCAAATCACTTAACCCTGTTTGCCTCAGTTTCTCCTCTGCAAAATGAGCTGGAGAAGGAAATGGCAACCCACACCAGTATTTTTGCCAAGAAAACCCCATATGGGTTCAAGAGTTGAAGTGTATTGACAACAACAGTGTATTGACATAGCCAGAATCTGTGCTTTAGGGAAATGATTGGGCAATTGTGTGAGGATAGGTTGGAATGGGAAGAAGGTTGAGGCAGGATGACCATGTAGCAGACTTGAGGTGATGAGGGCCTGAACTAGGGTGTGATGGCTGTGAAAATGAAGGAATATATGTGAGAAATGTTGTGGCAATATTGATGACGAGACTTGGCGATTGATAATATATTTGAGGTGAGTAAGAGGGAGGAGTTGAATTATATCAGTCGTTTAAACTTAGACCCTTAAAAGAATATCCATCAGCTGAGTTAGCTGTGTGCTTAGCACAGTGCCTGGCCCATAGTAGGTACTTAATATAAATGCTCACATTCGTGACCTTGACAATTCAGAGAATTTCAGAAGAGGAGTAGGTTTGAAGGGAAAGATGATGAACTCTGTTTAGTTTCTATTATGTTTGAGATAAGAGACAACCTCTCTTTAGTGGATAAAAAGCTATCCTTGAAGCCAGGCAGGCCTGGGTTCATGTTCTGCCACTTATACATACTGGCTGTATGACCTTGGGCAAGTCACTTAACCGGTTAGAGCTCTAGCCAACCCTAGAGCTCTGTTAATTCTGTTAATTGCAGAAAAGGAGCTAACTTGCATTAATTGAGGGAATTCCCTCATCTAGGAGTTCTTTATACAAATGAAATTACAGGACCAGTCCCTACTACCTAAATTTGAGATGCCTATTGGATAGTCAGATTATGAGGGGCCTTAAAAACCAGGCTAAGGATTTTTGTATTTTAACCTAGAGGCAATTTGCCTTGTTTTTCTTTCTTTTTTTTTCCTAAATCCCCAATGCCTACTACAGAAACTTGAATATAATATGTGCTTAAGAAATATTTATTGGGGGGGTAGCTAGGTGATACAGTGGATAGAGCACCGGCCCTGAAGTCAGGAGGATCTGAGTTCAAATCTGGCCTTAGACCAAACATTTGACACTAGCTGCATGGCCCTGGGCAAGTCACTTAACCCCAATTGCCTCTGTCTATAGATTTGTT